AAGGTCAAAGAGGGGCAGAAAAAGATGAAAATGGAAGACCTGGGATGAGGGAGGCTGGAGAGAAAGGGCAGCACCTATTACCTTCCTGAAACTGAGACTCAGACCATTTTCTTTCACAGAAAAAGTCACCATCCATCAACACCATTGACGTTTGAGGGAAGAAACACACCCAGAAGAGAGATGCACTAACAACTTGGGGATGGGGTGGGGTCAGGGAAAGCCCAAGATGGTGATCTGCTGGAGAGTCCCAGAGGGTAATGACATGCCCACAATCTCAGGCCTGGAACCCATCCTCTTTCCACTGTGAGCAGAGCCAGTCTGTTAAGAGTCTGTGCCCCTGGACCTGGGGAGCGGATATCAGATGGGATATCTTCTCCCATCCCCTGGTCCAGGGGAGAGTTACTTGTTCTACCCTATCCCATTAGGTCCCAAATGGGGGCCCCATTCCATCTGTATCAGGACTCTCAGCAGCCCCAGCTGCCCCCACATCTTGCCTCTGGGCCTCAGAGAGCCGTGTTTCTGTGAGTATTCCTCTTTCCCCAGCAAATAAAAGGAATTGTCGCAGCCTAGAGGCAGATACTGCACTGCACTACTCCAATGTCTTCCATGGAGCCTCAGGTGCTCCCCCCTCACCTGGCAGCCCCTTCAGCTGCCAGTGATCTCACTCCTTGGACATTTTTCCAATAAAGGTTCTTGGGCAAACCGGAGCTGACTGTGTAGTATGCTGAAGACATTTCCTCACCTCGTCTCTCTCCTGACCCTCCCAGGGCCCCTCACACCACCACCTACTTGACAGGAGCAGATTCTCATTGCAAGGTGTAATAACACTCCACCCTGGGATAGGGACCAGGAAGAAGAGGTGTAGAAAACTAGAACCCCAGATTCTGTTGCTTTGTTGGGTGAGAAGGGGAAAAAGACAAGAGAAAGATGTAAGTTCCGGGACCACTGGAAACTAAGGCATGTCATATGAGAGGGCAGTAGTTTTTGTATCTTCACTGCTCGCATCAACAGCACAGCTCCTCACCACTTATTCTTCTGACTCCTCCATCAACCCTGGGCTAATGGTCAGATAAGGACTAAGCAGTGTCTTGGGGACTAATGAACCGACAGCTACTCTCGTGGATTCCTGGTGCCACATGCTCCTATCCTATGTGTTCCTGTGTCTGTTCCTCCCTCCTTTGCATTCCCTTTCCTCTCTGTCTCTGTTTAGTCAAAGTCAATAATAACTGTAAATCATAAATGAGTTTATATTCATGCTCTGCCACCATATCCAGAGGAAGATTCTGAAAATAAAACTGAGGGGTTGGGACTCCCCTGTCAAAAGAATTACCATTTGAGCTCTGAGGCCTCCTTGTTTCCTATGAAAATAGAGGCTCTCCTCTACTCTTTCCTGTTTTCTAAGGGGTGGTTGGTGGCCATGAGACAAACACCTGTTGACATTTGCAACCACTGTGGAGGTAGGTTTCTGGACCCACAATCTCTCTAGAGAGCATATGCTACACTTTCTGTAGAGTTAACAGATCTTCCCAGCTTTGGATCATTTCAGAGCAGGCTTATAAGTAACTCCTTTTCTGCATTTCAGTATCTCTGGTATGTTAGAAGATAGGCCAAAAATTCAGAAAGGAACTCCAATCCAAACAAAGATCAACAAGTCAATATCTTTTCTACCTAACCAGCCTCCAACCCCGGGTATCACAAGACAACTATTAGGTGAGCCAAGTCTGGTCTGTCCACAAAACTGAACCATAAAAGCATTCCAATGTAAAGAGCAGTCTTTAACCCGCCATTACCCAGTTTGGAAGTAGGGCACCTTACGTTTCTCTGGCAGCTGGTTCCAAAACACTCATCTCTCAGATTCTGAGAATAAATATCATCCTTTATTGGGATGGGAGTGTCACAGGTTATAGTAACACGGCATGGACAGAGCGAGCTAGGAGTTGAGAAAGAACATAAAAGGTGTTTAAAGTTACCAACTCTGGGTTGAATCCCAGTTCCAAGTCCTTTGCTGACTGTGTTAGTTTGAGCAAGTGCCCTGAGTCTCCTGTTATGTAAAACGAGACTAATAATAACGCTATCCCCTTCAAAAGGCGTTTTCGGGATTAAATGACACAAATGCATGTGTAACACTTTGCACAGCACCTGGCAGACACATACTGAGCATTAATGGTTAACTGTAGTTATTAGCCTTGCGATCCCGTGCGAGTCATGTAACTAACCTGTTTGGGCACAATTCCGTCAACTGCAAAAGGCCTATCATAGCAACCGCCCAGCTTTCCTCCAGGGTTGTGAGGATTAAAAGAGTGCACTCAGCAACATTCAAGTATGACAAGGAGCAAGACGGACCGCGATGACGTAGGACCCAGGGCTGGCCGAAGGCTTGTGGGCGGGGCTTGATCTTGGGTTTGCATGCGGCGACAGGATTGGTCAAGAAGAGCCTTCATCAAGCCCTCTCAAGGTCCCGCCCCAGATGTCACTGCGCTTGCGCACTTTCTGTTTGATTCGCCGCAAAGCTACGTGTGACCTTGCGACGCTTGTGGCGCTCGGGTCGCAGAAGCGTCAGTGGCTGTCGCTGCGGCTGCGTGGCGGGTTGTCCAGGTAACCACGGGAGTTGCCGCTGTCCGGTAGCATCTGAACAACAGTTGCACGTCCGGTAGCATCTGAACAACAGTTGCGTGTCAGGCAGTTGAAGCACCTGCTGAGCTCTCAGGTGAGGAGTTGCGTGCCGGTCCCTCCCCCTTTCGCTTTACGTTCCGAGAAAAGTGGGGAAACTGAAGTTTGTTAGTTTGTTTTTTCTTTTTTCGTTTTTGTCTTAGTCCCTGGGTGCCAAGAAACTGAAGCTTAATGATGTGGAGCTCCTACTTTGTGCAGAAAGCTGGAAAACAGAAGGCCGTAAAGGATATAGCGATGATCTAGACCCTGTCCTGTCGATAGTGTTCGGGAGGTGCGACGCAGCGCTAAGCTTTCCTTACATTTCATTCACATCAGTCGTGTACAGGCCCCAGCCCCGTGCTGGCGCTAGAAGGAATTCCAAACCACACGACTTATTGTCCCTGCCTTCAGGAGGCTCGTATTACAGGGAGAGGTGCACGTGTAAGCAGCGAGTATACATCTACCCATAATTAAATAAGTGCCTTAGGTGCAAGCCGTGAAGGGGGAGTGCAAAGACCGAGCCGTGTATACTGATGGTAGAGATCTAATCTCCGATTGAGGAGAGGCAGGGCACTAGGGGAGGAGCCCTGGAACATGGTCAAGAAAGGGTGAGCTTTGGAGTTAGCACACCAGAACTTAAGGCCTAGCTCCACCATACTTTATTTTCTTTTTAAAATTTCTTACCTTGCCCTTATTTTAGATCCACCACTACTTTATTTATTTAACAGTTTATTTGAGACAGAGTCTTGCTCTGTCACCCAGGCTGGAGTGCAGTGGCACGATCTCACAACCTCTGCCTCCTGGGTTTAAGTGATTCTCCTGCNAAAAAAAAAAAAAGAAAAAAAAAAGAAGAGCATTCATCACGGCCTCTCAAGGGCCCACCCCAGATGTCACCGCGCTTGCGCACGTTCTGTTTGCTTCGCCGCAGAGCTACGTGTGACCTTGCGACGCGTGTTGCGCTCTGGTCGCGTAAGCGTCCGCGGCTGTCGCTGCGGCTGCGTGGCGGGTTGTCCAGGTAACCACGGGAGTTGTCGCTGTCTGGCAGCATCTGAGAGACAGCTGCCCGTCAGGCAGTTGAAGCACCTGAGGACCCTGCTGAGCCCTCAGGTGAGGAGTTGCGTGCCCATCCCTCCCCCTTTCGCTTTACGTTCTGAGAAAAGTGGGGAAACCGAAGTTTTGTTTTGTTTCGTTTTTCATTTTTCTTTTTTGTCTTAGTACCTGGGTGCCAAGAAACTGATGTGGAGCTCCTACTTTGTGCAGAAGGCTGGAAAGCAGAAGGCCATAAAGGATATAGTGATGATCCAGACCCTGTCCTGTCGATAGTGTTCGGGAGATGCGATGCAGCGCTAAGCTTTCCTTACATTTCATTCACATCAGTCGTGTACAGGCCCCAGCCCCGTGCTGGCGCTAGAAGGAATTCCAAACCACCCGACTTATTGTCCCTGCCTTCAGGAGGCTCGTATTACAGGGAGAGGTGCACGTGTAAGCAGCGAGTATACATCTACCCATAATTAAATAAGCGACTTAGGTGCAAGCCGTGAAGGGGGAGTGCAAAGACCGAGCCGTGTATACTGATGGTAGAGATCTAATCTCCGACTGAGGAGAGGCAGGGCCCTAGGGGAGGAGCCCTGGAACATGGTCAAGAAAGGGTGAGCTTTGGAGTTAGCACACCAGAATTTAAGTCCCAGCTCCACCATACTTTCTTATTTTCTTTTTAAAATTTCTTGCCTTGCCCTTATTTTAGATCCACCACTACTTTATTTATTTAACATTTTATTTGAGACAGAGTCTTGCTCTGTCACCCAGGCTGGAGTGCAGTGGCACGATCTCACAACCTCTGCCTCCTGGGTTTAAGTGATTCTCCTGCCTCAGCCTCCTGAGTAGCTGGGATTACAGACGTGCGATAGCACGCCCGGGGTAATTTAATTTTATTTTAAAAATTTTATTTATTTATTTATTTATTTATTTATTTTTATGGAGATGGGGTTTCCCCATGTTGCCCAGCGTGGCCACCACATCTTTAACCAAATGACCTGATATCTCTAACTTTAGCCTGCATCATACAGTGTTTCTGAGCACTCACCAGCTTCTTCATTTGGAAAACATGAGAACTAATAGCAACTTTAGGAAACTTGGGGAAGAGTTCGAGTAATATACACAAAAGAGCACTGTAAACTGAAAAGCAGTGTGAAAAACTCATGGACAACAGGAAAGGACATTCAAAATTCAAAGGACAGAATAATACAAAGCTAGTAAAAATAAGATGTCTGGCCAGACACAGTGGCTCACACCTGTAATCCGAGCAATTTGGGAGGCCAAGGTGGGAGGATCACTTGGGCCCAGGAGTCCAAGACCTCTACAAAAAAATTTTAAATTAGCCACATGTGACAGTGAGCACCTATAGGCCCAACTACCGGGGTCACTGAAGTAGGAGGATCTCCTGAACTCAGGAGGTCGAGGCTGCAGTGAGACATGATCGCATGCCAGCCTGGGTGACAGAGTGAGACTCTGTCTCAAAAGTTAATAAATTAATTAAATCGTGGTTCTACCACTTACAAACTGTGTGTGGGAACTTGGGCAAATTACTTAATCTTCTTGGGCTTTCATTCCTCCATCTGCAAAACAGGGATAATAATAGCATCTACTTCAGTGTTATGAGGTAAAATGAGATTATGCTTGTCAGCCACTTATCAAAATGCCTATTCTATGGTAGGTACTTGTTAAAGGCAAGCTCTTATTATTTTATTCCCTACCTCACTCAATAAAACAATTTAGTCAGGTGCATATTGTAGAGAATAGATAATTAATTGATTATGGGAATAAGGAAGGCTTCACTTGATACATACTGTGGCATCTGGACAATGGGAAATTAGAACATAGGCGGGGCATGGTGGCTCATGCCTGTAATTCCAGAACTTTGGGAGGCCAAGGCGAGTGGATCACTTGAGGTCAGGAGTTCAAGAACAGCCTGGGCAATATGGTGAAACCCCGTCTCTACCAAAAATACAAAAAAAAATTAGCCGGGCATGGTGGCACATGCCTATAGTCCCAGCTACTTGGGAA